CCTCCTTGAAACTTTAACTCTCACCCACCCTTAAGTTAAAGCAGATTGGCATATTATTTTGTAGGGGGAAGCAGGTACCTGTTTTTGACAGGTTCCCCATTCCCACATCCACTCGTATCACCTAGGCGATCCAAGGGAAAGTTCTCTACCCTCCCTGCAGTCTTCTGGAACATGTCACAGGTCCCAGGAGATTGCTAGACCATTCACAAAGCGCAGCCCAGCTCGAACAAGCACAGTGGGCAGCTGGCAGTGACGCCAAAAGCCAGCACATCCAACTGCCCACAGTGCCGGGAACCCAAAGGCTAGTCCTTTTATTAAATGTCAGCAGCTGCAGAATTTTTAGCTGCTGACGTTTACTTTTTTCCGGAGTGAAGAACTGCTTTAACAACCATGTATCTAAACCAAAAACAAACATTTTACATATTCCAACACATAAACCTTTAGATGTTGTGGCTGCATTTGTTTTCTAATACCTGTTAATCTTGCCAGAAATGCAGCGTCCATGTCACTTCCTGTGAGCTGAAATGAAAGCACAAAGGACCTTATCTTTTTTGTGTAAAGTCCCATCATTCCACCATGAAATAGAGATGAATAATGGCAAACAAGTTTAAAGTCCAGTCTGTGTGACAACCAAGTGAGTATAGCCATGAACGGACACGTGTTGCAGAATTACAGGGTGAAAATAAAGGGGGAAAAAAAAAGCCTGAAAAGGAACATAACTAATGCAGCCACAAAGCCGGCCATAGACGGTTCCTGATTCAAATCATATATGGGCAGGCTGAATGTACCCAAGTTGATTGATTGATCAACTTGGATTCAGCCAGCCTGTCGTATTTTAGGTGATTACTGCTAGCAGCTATTATAGCCGCTAGCAGTAACCACTGTGTTCTCCTAGCGGAGACAGCTCTCCCCACCCCTCCTCCTGGAACACAGGAGGGAGGGATTCCTCCATCAACACTGATGTGTTGATGGAGGAATTGAGCGATTTTTCATGGTTGCAAGAAAGAAAATCGCTCCTTCTATGGCCAGCTTAAGGATTGGTAAACTGCAATATATTACATATTTGTTTTTAGGTTTAGATATGATTTAATTTCATCTTTATATACAGTCCTCTTCGGCATCAGAATTCTCTGACCACGTTAAGGGTTGTTGCACACATAGCCTTTGTGGTACTGAGCACTACTTCACAAGTAGGCATAGGCATTTTAATAAAATGTTTTACTATATATCCATAATGTGAGCTACAGAGGAAAAAGTAGCAAGCATTTTTATAAGCAGCAAGCATTGACAGTGCCTATTGTAAAATGACAAAATAAATGTTGTTGCTAAGCTCTTACTGTGTTGTGGTGCTTCTTAACCTCCTTAGCGGTATTCCCGAGTGTAGCTCGGGGTAAAATTTCAATACCAAGAGCGGTAACCCTGAGCTACACTCAGGCTTACCATGCGGTGTTGCTCAGGGGGTCCCTGCAGCACTTACCTTGTCCTTCGCTCCCGCGATGTGTCCCCTGCAGCGTCCCCGGCCATCTCCTCCGGCCGATGCCGGCATCCAGCTTCCATGTTCCAGTCCCTGTGACGTCAGGACGTACGGGCGCCGGAACCTCTTCCCTTAACCCCTTAGGTGTGAAATTTGAAATTTTTAAAAATGTCATTTTTGCTGTCATTGCTGTTTCAATGCATTTCACATATATTTTGTCCCTACTGCTTTGTCCTGTGCCCTGCCTGCATTTTGACTGTTCTTTCTGCCTGGAAACTTAGAAAAGTCCATGGCGTCCAAAAAGCGTCCCTTTACGTCAAAAGCGGTTTTAGACCAGTGATAGTAAATCAGAACCACTTGCAGAATTGAGTGATAATGATTCGTGGGGAAATTCGTCATCAGACACTGAAAACGATTTTGCGACTTTGCTCTGCGATGTGCGAATTTTCCTCTGTATTTCAAATTTCAGTGTTTTTGGTTTGATTACATTATTGAATTAAATTTATTATTATATTATTATTTTTTATGATTATTTATTAAATTATAGTTTATGATTTCGTGTTTCAAGTTTTATCATACCCGGAATGTTTACTAGACTCTTGTTTGGACAGATTTCAGTGAGTTATTCCTAAAAATTACAGCCTACAATAAAAAACTACATATTTCCATGCAAAAAAATGGTACCGCTTTCAGCACAAAAAATCGGAAAGAATCCTACCGCTGAGGAGGTTAAAAACTGGCTTGAAGGGATGAGTTGCATTATGACAAACCTGCACATAGAGAAATATGTAAGCTGCATTGGTTACTGCCATCTGAAAATGCTAGCTGCCATGCTGATCATGTACAGTAGTTCTCAAGCTGATTCTAGTGACTTGTAACAAGTATTTGGCCAATAAAATAAAAGTAGAGCCATACCTCCTGCTCAGCTAATTTGTTTATGGTCACTAATATGATTAAAGCCAGGAGATCAGCATGACGTACAGTCAACTAACATTTTAAGAAGACAGTATGGTAGATAAGGTATTTCTCTTGGCATATGACTTCTTGAAAGAAGCAAAAATTCTTACTCCCCAGCAACATAGTATAATGTGAGCAATAACCATCGGTCACTTTGAGAAAAAAAAATGCAACTGTCCATGGAAACAAACAATAAACACATATATACAATAGACAAATGTCTTTTTAAATGTATTTAAAGAAAGAAGACTATAAAATGGGATAAATTATAACCTGGTTTATTATCAGAAAACACATTAAATAAGATTACTTGTTAAAAAGATATTAAATTCTGTTTTGAACATTCATTGTCTCACATCTAAAGGAAGCTGGAACATTAAAATGAACAAATTAAATTACAATTTATAAGTAGAAAAATATACTCTAAGACTGATTGTGCAGCAGCTGTGTTAAAGCAAATTTCCTTTGCAAAGTTACAGTAAGACTTGATCTAAAAAAATATATCTTATTCTGAAAAAGTGGCACACTTCTCAAAAAAACGCCACCTCTTACCCACTGGTGATTAATAACAAATGGCTCGAGTCTGAGAATGTAGTATTTTTATATCATTATAAAACATGATCAGTGGTAACAAGATTGTCAATATGCAGAAAGAAACAGCTTGGAAAACTGTGCACAGGTAGAAGTTGGAATAAATAACATTGAGTTCAAAGCTTTCTTGTAAATGTGCTTATAGCATCTGTTGTCTCCTTTTGCCCTCATTATAAACATGTCTCACAATGGTAGGAATGGAATGCCACCCATTTATTTTAAATAACCACCATTCAGTAAAAGGAAGGTTAAAAGCAGATTGCTTGGTAGTTCACAGACAGTGCCAACAAAGGAACATCTTAGGGACTTGCTCAAGCAACAATATCATAGTTCAGTATGATGACAGGCATGTGTTGCCCAGATATAGCTATTCAGCTTTCAGGCTGATCACTTACATCACCTTCAGTCATCGGGTCAATGGTGTTGCATGCCAGACAGGTCATCATAAGGCCACGTACGCTTAGGAAAACGTTCCTATCAGAGGACTATAGGTAATCTTTCCACTGTTTTGATGTAATCTTGGGCCAATTATGGCAGCTTGGGATATTTTAGAATCAGTTTTATGAGAGTCTTGTTTGTAGGGCAAATAACGACTGATTCTGAAAAATATCATACCAATCAAAAATAGATATCACGTGAGTGCATTATGTCACCGTGTGGCTGGTATTTTTGCAAGGTATTAATACTGGGTTACATGAATGTGTCATTGTGGTTAATGCAAAAATATACTCATGCTGCCTCTTACCCACCAAAAAAGCGAGAGGGCATCACTGGCAAAAATGTCTTTATATGAGTGGTATTCCCTTCTTTCTTTCATTTTGAAAGATAAACTCAGCATATTCCCACCTCTCATGCATAAACCATCAACTTAAATAACAGTCGTATCTGACAGTAGAGTAGTATAATAGGAACAAGCTGTATTTTGCTGCATTTCAGCACCATAGCAGAAGTATACATGTGTTTGTACACACACTGTTGAAGATCTCCAAAGGATGAGTGTTCAAAGATCATAATTGTTATGGCGAAAGTAAAAATAAATAATCAGTGCACAATGACCTTTGCCTCCTCCTGTAATTCAGTGCATTTATATCTAGAGACTGTACACAATTTAACTGTACAGACAGGTGATCACAATTCCAAACTATGATATTGAGACAGACAAAAGCATCATGGTGTTCCAAGGGGTCAGTGTATAACTATTAGGCATTCAGTCTGGTCTACAAGGCCAAGATTGTGCCTATAGATAGTTGTTACTTAGATGTTGGTGTGTACAAAAAAACATGTTGAACCAGCCATGAAATTGTGGCAAAAAGGCATAGATGGTCATCCATTATCAATGCCTTTGTTGTGTTAGATTATCTGACAATAATATGAAATCACTTGTAGCACCTATAGCTTACAACTCATTTAGAGTCACCAGGATAACTTATTCTTCAAGAGCTAACATACATTTATGAATTGGCATGTATACACCATATGTGTGAATCTGTCTTCTGCCCTGGCTTGTCTAAGAGTCTCCACAATGTTCTTGGCATGGGAATTAGTTTATGATTTGAGGCTGCTGAAAGCAATATGAGAGGCTGTCATGACTGAGATATAACTGAAAACCACAAAAAGCTCCCCTTCCAATGATCAAACATCTACTTTCTATCCTCTCTATATCAGAACGTCTTCCTATGAAATAGGAATTTCCATAATAAAATGGCAATTTCTAAAACCGTTTTAGTAATTACCGTCTTAATCAATTATCTGCAAAATAATTTAGCACATTCCTGGTCCCTCTGATCGCAATTAACATTAGCCACCAGCTTTTTATAATAGTCACTCTTTGGGGATCAAGTTCCTTCGGGACCATGGACCTTAGCGAGCTGTAATTTGCTTAACTGTTCTCAGCAGATAGGCAAAACAGGAAACTGGAGGTCCGTGGGAACACATTTCAGCAGCATTTCCAGTTAAAACCATCCTCGTGTATAACATATCAAGGCATTTCCCACCCAAGGACTCTTTTGGCCAGAACAATCAGGAAGTGGCAGTACCAATGAATCCCATCATTCCCTATAAATTCTGGAATAATGGAGAACAGGGTGTACAGTAGTCTTATAGGAGCAAATGACCTATGTGCCATCTCATGCCATTCAGTATTTGCATAGCAAGATGTCAATATGCCATCTACAAGAAGGGTTCCATGAGCAGTCAGCGGAGCATAAACCCCTGTCTCTTCCTGTATGGACACATTTACAACTTTAGATGGTAGCAGCTGAGTGCCATTAGCAAATATTTGAACAAAGTCCCCAACCTGGACACGATGTGCATAAACTGGCAAAAATCCCACCAGTAGGTCTCTGGTTGCAAAGATCAAATGGTTTGGAGTAAGCCGAAGGCTATATGGATGTCCTTCAGCCTCAATAATTATGAATGCGGCTTGCTTATCCAGATCTTTGTGCAAAAACAGCAAAATCTCTGTTGATGTCAAATGTCCTGTTTCATCTGTGGTAAGGATTTTATCACCAAGCTGCAATTCTGACAGAGGCTTACGTTGACCGCTAATAATGTTGACCATGGCAGTTCCTGGAAAGCAGCCACCAGAACGGACAGCTAATGAGTTGTCTGAAAGATAAAAAAAATGAGAAGATACATAAGAACAATAATAAGTAACTGAAATAACTGGTTGATGACTAGTTGTTGGGGAAATCCCCATGGACACAGGGCCATCTTTAATATTGGTTGGACCCTGGGAAAACATATTCTTTGGTTCCCCACTACCATGCAATTTGGCTCTCCACCCCAACATCCCAAAAAAACAAACATACACACACAAAGACTTGTCTAAAAAAACTTGAATAATGTAAACATAAAGAATTGGTCCACACTCACTGATTGGTGCAGACTCACTGGTTCCTAGACATTACTTCACATCATTACCGCTCGCTCATTGGTTGCTAGACATAACTGCACATCATTACTGCTCACCCATTGGTTGCTAGAGGTTACTGCTTATCAATATCACTCACTGATTGGTTGCTAGAGGTTAGAGCACATCATTACTGCTCACTGATTGTTGGCTGCTAGAGGTTACAGTACATCATTATTGTTCACTGATTAGTTGCTAAAGATTATAGCAGATCATTATTGTTCACCGTTTGGTTGCTAGAGTTTACAGCACATCTTTACCGCTCACTGATTGGTTGCTAGAGGTTACAACAGATCACTAATGTTAACTGACTGGTTGCTAGAGGTTGGGCCAGTGCAAGGATTTTGTCCTTCCCTACACACTGCGCACCCTCTCCACACTGCTCCCCATTTCCTCTGCAAACATTGCCCCCTGTCCATACTGCTCTCCTCTGCACAACTCCCCCACTCTACTCCCATGCACACATTGCCCCCTATCTCTCACCGGTACACATTGCCCCCTCTGTGTAAACACTCCCCCATACACATTGCCCCTGCAAACATGCAAACATTGGGGGCGGTTTAAATAATAACTTCACTTTTTTTAACAAAAAATAAATGCATATTTTTTGCAGGTAAAAAAATGTGAATTTACTATTTTTGTTTTAGGAACTTGGAAAGCATTGTACTAGCTGATTGCCTGTTGCCATGTAGGTCTCCTGCAGACTGTCAGTGTATTCAGTACGATGTATGGGCAGGCAGTTTGACACTGACAGGAAGAATCAATGAACTACCACAGCGCTCAACAGCACCTTGGTAGTTGATTGAGAATTAAAAGGAAACATCACACCTGTAGAACATCACACCTGTCTTTAGCCCTGCAGAATATCACGCCTGTCTTCAACCGTGCAGAACATCACACGTCTCCACCCCTGCAGAACATCACACATCTCCAGCCCTGCAGTACATCACATCTGTCTCCCTCTACCTGCAGAACATCACACCTGTCTCCCCTCTTCCTGCAGAACATTACATGCCTCCAGCCCTGCAGAACATAACACCTGTCTTCCCTCTCCCAACCTTGAAGAACATCACACCTGTCTTCACCCCTGCAGAACATCACACGTCTCCAGCACTGCAGAACATCACATCTGTCTCCCTCTCCCTGTAGAACATCACACCTGTCTCCCCTCTTCCTGCAGAACATTACATGTCTCCAGCCCTGCAGAACATAACACCTGTCTTCCCTCTCCCAACCCTGCAGAACATCACACCTGTCTTCACCCCTGCAGAACATCACATCTGTCTTTAGCCCTGCAGAACATCACACCTGTCTTCCCTCTCCTAGCCCTGCAAAATATCACATCTGTCTTAAACCCCTGCAGATCATCACACCTGTCTTCAGCCCTGCAAATCATCGCACCTGTCTTCCCTCTTCCTGCTCTGTAGAACATCACACCTGTCTCCCCTCTTCCTGCTCTGCAGAACATCACACACCTGTGTCCCCTCTTCCTACCCTGCAGGACATGACACCTGTCTCCCCTCTCCCAGCCCTGCAAAGCATCACAGCTACCTACCCTCTCCCAACCCTGCAGAGCATCACACCTGTCTCCAGCCCTGCAGAGCATCACACCTGACTCCCCTCTTCATGCTCTGCAGAACATCACACCTGTCTCCCCTCTTCCTGCACTACAGAGTATCACACCTGTCTCCACTCTCCAGCCCTGCAGAGCATCACACCTGTCTCCCCCTCCTAGCCCTGCAGAGCATCACACCTGTCTCCCCCTCCTAGCCCTGCAGAGCATCACACCTGTCTCCCCCTCCTAGCCCTGTAGAGCACCACTCCTGTCTCCCTCCTCCCACCCCTGAAGAGCATCATACCTGTCTTTCTCCCAGCCCTGCAGAACATTGCATGGGAGCAGAGATGATTTGTAGGGCTGGGAGAGGGGGGACAGGTGTGATGCTCTGCAGGGGTGGAAGAGGGGAGATAAAGCACTGTCAGTAAAATAAGGAACTTGCCACAGTTCTTACCTTGCTGCTAACCCCCCATACCAACGGAGCTCTACAGACCCGCCTCCACATGGCTGGAAAAGCTCTCAGTTGGAGCTCTGTTCTTCAGCAGTGCCACCACCTTCTCCACCCGCAGGACAAGGCAGGAACTGTAGCAAACCAGGAGGAAGTGACAAGGCTGAGCCTGAAGCAGGGGTTATAGAGTAACAGGCAGAGTAGAGGATCGAGCTGCCCTCCACGTTGTCAGCCCAACAATGCTGACACACCACATGCGCTATCTATAGCATGGTGCTGGAATTTTACCACCACCCATCCTTGCGATGGCCCTGTTCCAGATGTTCCCGGGCAGAGCGGGCTGAAGTGGCAGCTGCTTTGGGCCCCACAACAATGACAGGGCCTAGGGCAGCTTCGCCTTTTGCCCTGCATTAAAGTTGGCCCTGCATTGACGTCTATGAGGCTAAAACTAGTTCTGGGCAGCTGCACAGGTTTTTACAAAAAGGGGACAGCTTGTTGGACCCTAATTTGGTAGTCAAAGATCTCTGGACATCCACACTCACTCCATCCTTATCCAGAGATCTAGTAATACTGGTACTTTTCCTGATGGGATGTTCTCAGTGTTACTTCAGCATCAAAGCTTCTGTCTACTCTGCTGCCTGTTCCCCTATACGTAAGAGAATATGCTTTTGCATTTAAGCATACTTGATGTGGATCAGTTATGAGAGGTCATTATTAGAAATGTAGGTGCTTCATAATCTATTTGGTTGTATTTAGTACATATTAAATAAAATAATATGCAATGTAAATAATAAATATTAAACTGACAAACCCCAAGCACACCCTAATACAATGCAAACACAGAAAAACATGTTGCAGCTGTGAATGATAGTCTGTGGGTTGAGTCCTTTTTTTAAGCTGCCACTTTATTACATAGGTATATCTGCTTGTTGTTGAAAATGGTCAATCAATGAATCATGTGGCTGAAATTCATTACATAATGGCTACAAATGTAGTGAGGAGGTTCATGTGTGGTTCACCTAAAGAGAATTGGGAATATGCAAGATCGAAGCATGACTGTGGAATGAAATGTTCCCAACTTTGTACACTACACTTCTTATATTCTTCACTAATCTCCTTGCACTGTTATTAGAAGAGGGGTCCTGTCATTTTGACAAGTAAGAAGGTAAAAAGTGAACAATGCTGAGAATCAAGGTGTGAGATGGGAGAACACAATGGTGAGTGTGGCTTCAAGAAAAAAACAATAGGGAGATAGAGTAATCAGAGTGATTACAGGTACACAAGATAAGTTAACCATTTGAATAAAAGATAACAGTCTAGTTTTAGTTAATCAGAACCTGGATCTAAAGAATGCTTTATTGTTGTATCAGAAGGTCGTAAGGATGGCAATACATGGATCAAAATTCGGCTGGTTCAGCAGGGACTGTCCGAATTTTGATCTATGTATGGGCAGGCTGGTTGTACAGAAGTCGATTGATTGTTGTTTTTCTCGGACAATCGGGGCCACCAGCTAAAGCCGGCAGCAATGATCATTGTATTCTGATGGTGGGGAAGTGTCCCCATCGTTCTAACACAACAGCACAGTGGAAGTGATTCCCCCATCAACATGTGTGAATAAGGGAATCAAATCATTTTTTTTTTTTTTTATTGTTCAACCGAGTGGCTGAACAAAAAAAAAATGATTAATATATGGCCAGCCTAACTCTCACTAGTCATTTAGACAAGTGCAACAATTCATAAAGGGGAAATATAATTAATCACCAATAAACTGACCCTCATAGTAGTTTATTTTCTCCCAGCATGCACAACCACTATTCTGTGGGGGTCAGGGAATCTCCTACTACATTACCATTTATGCAGCAATATTGGCTAGTAATACTGTAGGTAATCTGAGATGAACAGATCAAGCAATTTTAAACCGCCAATCACTAACAATATGCTGCAGTCCCCAGACACTGCTTCTCCATACAAGGGAAGATTAAGAATGGCAGTGCAGAGAAAGCTCACCATAAACTTCACTTGTGCATGATGAACTTAAAGCCTGATTGAGTCCTCCACTTAAGTCAGCTAAATGCACTGTAGGTGCATTTGAACAAAATGTGTTCATTGTCTTACAGTTGATTTTCTTTTTAAAGCAGCCACACCCTGAGTAGAAAAGCTTGTCCCCTGCCAGCATGTTGCAGCAAAGGACCCTTGCTCTCTTTGTACAAGCAGTGATCTTTTCGCTGATATCTGACATGCCCTTTGTTTACTCAATTATTTTCTTTTCAAAATAAAATTAATACTCAATAATAGTCACTGTTAAAGGACAAGTTTACCTTTTGTAACATGTTACACCCATAATCAGGGTGTAACATGTTACTGTATCACATACCACCTGCCCCCTCCAATCCCCCGTTTTGACAGCAAGCGGGGGAGCTTCAAACGTAGCAGTGCGGGGCTCCGCCCACCTAACCACATCATTCATTCACAGAGTTCTGTGAATGGGAGAACTACAGCTACCAACGGCCTTTGTGATGTTGAGCACTCTGGTAGTTCATTGATTCTTCCTGCCAGTGTAAAACTGCTTGATCATACAATGTACAGGCAGACAGCTTACACTGACAGTATGTAGGAGTCCTGCATGGCATCTGCGATCTAATGATTGCGGGTGCAATGCTTTCCAGGCTCCCACAAAAAAATAGTAAATGCACATTTTTTTTTCCCTCAAAAAAATGTGCATTGATTTTTCTCTTTTTAAAGGGAACTTTTTCTTTAAGAACTAAGCAACAAACTTTCGAAAAAGACTGTAACCCGTTCCAAATAAAAAAAAAAACTTTGTAAATGTCATATTCTTCTTCAACAAGTGCACAGTTACTAGAAGAGGGATTATATCATTTTGACAAGTAAGAAGGTAAAACGTGAACAATGCTGAGAATCAAGGTTTGAGATGTGAGAATACAATGGTAAGTGTGGCTTCAAGAAGAAAACAATAGGAAGCAAGTGTGAATCAGAGTGATTACAAGTACAGGAGAGAATCTAGCCACTGGAATTAAAGAGAACAAAAGGCAAACCATTATAAACTGCTAATCAATAGCAGTGCTATTACCAGTACACTGCTGTCCACAAACACTGCTTCTCCATAGGGGAGCTTACAGAATGGCAGTGCTGAGAAAGCTCACAATAAACTTTAGTTGTGTATGATGGACTTAAAACCCAATAGAACCCTCAGGCTAACTATCTTACAGTTGGTTTCCTTACTGAAGCAGCTACATCCTGAGTAGAAAAGCCTGTCTCCTGCCACCATGCTGTAGAGAAGGACCGTATCTCTCTTTGTGGAAGTAGTTGTCTCTTTGCAGTGATCTGACACATCCCTTGCTAAATCAGACCTACAGCTCTCATCAAGCTATCAGCAAAGCTCATACTCCCCACGGAGTCTGACTCTGAGCCAGCAGGAGGCATGTCAGACCTCTGCAGGGAGACCACTACTTCCCTAGAGTGAGCAAGGATCCCTCTGCAGCTTCTAGCATGTGACAGGTTTTTCTACTCGGGTTGTAGCTTATTTTTTAGAAAACAAACTGTAAGACTTTGCAATCCTTTTGCTTTGATGCATGTGGAATGTAATTAGCCAGTTTGAAATAAAAATGTTTAGTTGGGCTTCAAAGAAAGTCTATTATGACAGAAATAAATAAGCAGCAATCGCTGACCTGTTTTAGGTGCATGTGTCCAATGTCTGGTACACACTTACTTTTTTCAGTTTAGTGATGTGCCAAGTAGTGAAGGAAGGATAAGGATGACAACCCTAGGATATACACCTTTAAAACACATGCCTGTAGCTCCCATATTTCCATCCTGACAGGCCACCCATAGACAGGCAGTCTTCTCACCAATAACAAGGAATGAAAGCTTCCTATACACATTGGTATTGCTGCAACCTTTCTCACTGACGTATGTTAAATACGAATGTTTCTATGGAGAAGTAATGACCATTTATCTGTTTCAGAAACTTTCAAACTTGTTGGAAAATTACTTTGAACAATAAAGTACTTTTTTTAAAGCTCACAAAAGCTTGTTATTGCTTGACTGGTCCCTCTAGAATGCTTGATTAACCCAAGAGGTGACCAAACTGCTCATATCTCTTTTAAATGCCTCCCAGTGCAACCAGAATTGGCAAATTCTATTATATCACCGTGGGTGGAGAAACGAACACACGCTACAGAGCATGCACGAACACCTGGCGGCCATTTTGGAAATTGGAATATTTGGATTTTTTTGCCAATCAATGCCTAATGATGTTTGTTTACATATGAGTGCAACCATACTTTAAAAAAATTTAGTGATTATGGTTTTACACTATGTGGAGTTCTTTCTTTGCATGTTTCCACTACAAGTCCAAGCCTTATCCTGAATGATTTAGCTACCCTAATTAAGGTCCATTGTTTGGAAGATCCTTATCTGCTGTTTTGGTGATCTGGAGCAGGATTTGAGTGACCTGCTTTCTGGATAGTTTAACAAAGTGGGAATGACCACTCTTAACAGGGGGTCATGCTTTTCTGGTAAGTCTTCTGTAGTAGTGGTTGGTGACCAGACAACTGTCCTTGGATTTCTTTTGTTTCATCACAGCCTCTGGGACTTTTCTTTTATTTTTGGATGGACTATTTTTTTTACACATTTTTCACTGTTTTCTTATGATTATTTGTAACTTTTAAAGCGCTGCACTTTTATGTATCTATTATATCACCACCATGTCATAGTTTTCAATAGAGACTACAAATAGCCATTTTAAGACACATTGCCCTGACATAGTCCACTGTGGTCAAAATCAGAAAACCAACCCTGACAAATGCCATGTGACTATCACTGACTGCAAAGTAGCTTCAGGATATCAGCAGCACTGATATGCATCAAGGGAGGAAAGCAAGTATTTTGTTAAAAAAGCAATTTTTTATGATACACAGTGCTTAATCTAACTAAATGCCATTCAGTTAGGGTTCATATCTAATTTAAACAGTGCTCACAAGTAGCGAGTTTTTGTTGGCAGCCTCAGCACAAAAGTATTGACATGATTAGGCTTGTTTAGTGCATACAGAGTTCTTGCCATGATAAATATACACTAAAGCCATTTGCACCATTATTTATTAGTCGAAATTGATCTAATAATCTAAAAAGAAACTTTTTTAGAGTAAAAGATGCCACTGATCACGTTCACCCATCCTTCCACTGGCGGAAAGAGCTGTATACCTCCAGAAAGGGTACCTGCTTTCACTGAGACATGGATGTGTGCTTTTGATTCATAGTACACCCAGTCAAAGCCAGCTTCAACTGCCAGGCGAGCTAACATGCCATATTTGTTCTTGTCTCGGTCCGAAGTTGTGATGTCAAGTGCACGTCCCTCATAGTGCAGGGAGTCATGGGCATGGTGTCCATCCTCGTCCCAGCCTTCTGTGACCCGCAGCCGTACTCCTGGCCACATATTCATGACAGAGATAGCCAAGGCGTTCACCCTATCCTTGCAGCGCTGCAATGAAAGAAAAGAAGGTCAGTGGATACAAATATGTGGATTATTTCATAAGCTCATATTTAAATTTTAGTCAAGATAAAATATGCAGCCAGTGTTGGTATTTGTCACTTGGACTGCCGAAAGAAGGTAAAGTCTTCTCAACATTGTCATCTCTTCTGCACAGAATCCAAATTTTTTGTACATTATATTTCTGTTTCAGAAATGTCTTTTTCTTGCATTTTTACAACCTAAATGTAGAATCCATATGGATGGAGTGGCAGTCACTGTTTTTGTACTGTACTGACTGGGCAAGAATCATATATCTATAGGGAGCCCATAACCTGGGCCAGTCAGGTTTGCAGGAAACATTAATTAGGCAGTTTGATTACTTTCTCTAGTTATTATTATTTATTTATTTCAGGTACTTATATAGCGCTGTCAATTTTACGCATCGCTTTACATCTATATCGTACATTCACATCGGTCCCTAACCCTCAAGTGGCATACAATCTAAGGTTTCTAACTTACATTCATACATACACATACTAGGCCAATTTAGACAGGATCCAATTCACCTACCAGCATGTCTTTGGAGTGTGGGAGGAAACCAGAGTACCCAGAGGAAACCCACGCAGGCACAGGGAGAAAATGAAAACTCCAGGCAGGTGGTGCCGTGGTAGGGATTCAAACCAATGACCCTAGTACTGCCAGGCAGGTGGTGCCGTGGTAGGGATTCAAACCAATGACCCTAGTACTGCCAGGCGGAAGTGCTAACTATTTGGCCACTGTGCTGCTATTGTTCCTAGCATGTTAAGCTCATCTCCTCTCCTTCCTATTCACATGATCTGTAAAGATCTGACTGGGAACTGTAATACACATAGCTTGAATGTTAAGAAATTTTGTTTAACTAGATGTAATCTAAACCTTGATATGTATAAAATCCATTAGAATCTGATCTTAGCATTGACTAGGGGTCCTCTTCTATATTCAAATAATATATTATGTTATATTATACGCCATGATTGTGGTTTTCTGGGATATTTCATGTACATTTTCAGGCCAAGTAGTGATCAGGAGTTGGAAGATTCCTACTACAAGACTATGGCTAATCTTCACTTTTTGAACACATATGGGTCACAATACCTATTTCATTTGAAAAACACATCTTAATGTACACTGCATTTTCAATGCACACATTAATAAGCAACTAATTTGCATCATATTTAATGTAATTGTTTCAGTGTATCAGCTTGAAAAAAACCAATACAGTAATTACTAAATGAAACAGCCCACAATGGGCAAATCTGTCTCAATAAATAATAGGAACAGAACTTCAACAATGCTAAGCCCAGTGGTATGTTCCCTAAAAAATACACAGTAGGTATGTCAAGAATATGAATCAGCCCTTGAATGTATATCTAATTTTCTAAATTTAAATCTATTTTTTAACAAAAGCACATTAAAATAAAAAATGTAGCTCAGCAGCAGTACATTCCACATATTACTGTGAACATGCTGGGACAGCTAGATCTAGCAATGCCAGTGCACTGGCATTAGAGCTAGTGAAGAGTACCAGTGCTCATTATTTTCAATCAATACATCTAGGAGTAAGCAGAGGTAGTGCAAGTGCAAATTCCAGTGTTTTCTGCTGTGTTGCCACGGTATGAGCCTGCATAGATGTGAAGAAATCGAGTATAGGAAGGGTCAGAAAATCTGTCTGGTTCTACTGCTGTATGTGTTTCTTAAGGCTACCAACAGACATGGACTGCTGTTTAGAAGACCTGACCACTGAACAATCATTCTGTAGAGCAAGTGTAAAAGGGCTACATAAGAGAGTGGTACAATCATTTTAGTCAGGATCTGCCTAGAGATTCCAGAAGGATCCTGAGGTCTTTTTTCCCCCAGAATTGGGAATAGCCAATCACAGGTGGGCAGGTTAGGCAATTCTTTAAGGGCTATCAATAATTCCCCATGCCAGGTCCCTGTAAAAGAAGAGCTAGTATACTCATCTTTCCTGTGGTCCATGTCTCCTACCTTCCCTCCATTTCAGAGATAGTAGACACAGTCCGGAAAGGTATACTACTAACTCTAACAAGAAGCTATTGTTGGAATTTACTGATAGCATTGACAGGTTCTCTTTGAGGGCAAATGGCTGAGATGAGCAGCTGTCACCCAACATTGTCAAACATTGGTTTGTGTAAAGAAAGATGTTCAGACAGCTCTACCTTCTGTCCTCTGTCTTCAGGCCTAAAAACGTGAAACCTCTCCTTCAAAGTACACCAACTAAGCAAAGGTAATACCTGGGTAGTTGGTGTAGTTCCTACCAGTAATCTTTCAACACATTTGGGTAAAATTTGACAAATTTAGAGTGAGGCAAGGAATCATTCAAATGCTTAGGGGATAAATGTAATGTGACAGACACAACATCCTGACCTGGTGTTAATATATTTTTACATAATTTGAAAATGATTGCTTCTATAAATGTTCTAGCAAATTAATATTAATGTGACCCAAGTGTGCAGTCTGGATTATCTTTATTTCTATGAAAGGACCTTGTATAATCAGGTTCAGAGAAAGATGGACAGAGAATGTTAGCCTGGACCATCTGTTTTGCTGGCATTAGGTGGCACCTAACTGTACAATACAGACTACACACAATATTTATGATCTTCTAAAGAAAGTGAATATCATCTCTGGAAAAAAAGCTAAGGTGGAATTGGTGATAAACAAAAAATCAGATATAAGCGAAGCTGCAGTAGCAAGCCCTGTGGCATGGAGCAATGAAAGAGGTCAAAATGCTGGTTCTCCCCAGATGTTAAGACTCAACTGTAGGTTTACTGGGTTGGTAGGTAACCCATGTGTAACTGCAAACCCTTTTTTCCCAAGAACATAAACATCCATGAATGCATCAGCCAAGTATGCATGCAGCCACATACCACGAACAGGGAACTACATCTGAAGCACTCAAAAACTAAACACCAATTGTTTCAATTAACTTACAAATAAAGTCACCATACAACCTGGCCATTCACCTAATTACTGCCAATCAAATACTGATACTACACACACAGAGCTGTTAGGGGACTAAAATTGCCTCAACTAGAATATGCTATAACTGAATCTAACAATTTTCCTAAAATGTAATTTCATTACTGTGCAGTGTATAGGTTAGTTCCCAATGAGTAGAAGTGAGTAAACAATACAGAATTCTCTCCATCGCTGATTTACCCAGTCTGCTGCAATGTAATACTCGTTTCATTTTATTTAACCTAAATCTTTTTTTAATTCAAACTACACAAGTATATGTGGTCCTGCAGGAAGATACCAGCCTGGAACTCCAAGCACTGGGATTGTAACTCCTTGGCTGAAAGGCTGAGAGCATACTGATAGTTGCCTGTAAAGTGTAAACTCTTCAGCTTGGAGAGGTGCTTCAAGGAGTGTGTCCCAAAAATAAAGCCCCCCCCCCCCCCCCGCACCACCACCAACCTAATGCCTAATAGTAATGGACTCCTCCGCATGACCAGCACTCCATTTTTACTTTTTGTCTGTTTCACCAGTTTCCCGTCTGCCTTTCATTTTTCTTATATAGCATCCTCTTGTCTTAGGCCATACCATGAAAAGCTTTCGTAATCTGTACATCTGTTCATCTGCTACTGCTACATACAGTCATGGCCGAAATTGTTGGCACCCTTGATATTTCTCCAGGAAATCATGTATTTTCTCACGAAACGTATTGCATTAACACATTTTTTTGCTATACACATGTTTATTCCCTTTGTGTGTATTGGGACAAAACAAAAAAAAGGGAGGAAAGAAAGCAAATTCGACATAATGTCACACAAACCTCCAAAAATGGGCTGGACAAAAGTATTGGCACCCTTTCACAACTGCGGATAAATAAGAATGTTACAAGCATGTGATGCTCCTGTAAACTCACCTGGGGCAAGTAACAGGTGTGGGCAATATAGAAATCACACCTGAAAGCAGATAAAAAGGAGAGACGTTCACTTAACCTTTGCATTGTGTGTCTGTCTGTGCCACACTAAGCATGGACAACAGAAAGAGGAGACGAGAACTGTCTGAGGACCTGAGAACCAAAATTGTGGCAAACTTTAAAACATATCAACAATCTCAAGGTTACAAGTCCATCTCCAGAGAACTAGATTTGCCTTTGTCCACAGTGCGCAACATTATCAAGAAGTTTGCAACCCATGGCACTGTAGCTAATCTCCCTGGTCGTGGACGGATGAGGAAAATTGATGAAAGATTGCAACGCAGAATAGTCCGGATGGTGGATAAGCAGCCCCAAACATGTTCCAAAGACATTCAAGCTGTCCTGCAGGCTCAGGGAGCATCAGTGTCAGCGCGAACTATCCGTCGACATTTAAATGAAATGAAACGCTATGGCAGGAGACCCAGGAGGACCCACTGCTGACACAGAGACATAAAAAAGCAAGACTACAGTTTGCCAAAATGTACTTGAGTAAGCCAAAAGCCTTCTGGGAAAACGTCTTGTGGACAGATGAGACCAAGATAGAGCTTTTCGGTAAAGCACATCATTCTACTGTTTACCGAAAACGGAATGAGGCCTACAAAGAACAAAACACAGTACCTACGGTAAAATATGGTGGAGGTTCAATGATGTTTTGGGGTTGTTTTGCTGCCTCTGGCACTGGGTGCCTTGACTGTGTGCAAGGCATCATGAAATCTGAGGATTACCAAAGGATTTTGGGTCGCACTGTAGGGCCCAGTGTCAGAAAGCTGGGTTTGCGTCCAAGATCCTGGGTCTTCCAGCAGGACAATGACCCCAAACATACGTCAAAAAGCACTCAGAAATGGATGGCAAAGAAGCGCTGGAGAGTTCTGAAGTGGCCAGCAATGAGCCCAGATCTAAATCCCATTGAACACCTGTGGAGAGATCTTAAAATTGCTGTTGGGAAAAGGTGTCCTTCCAATAAGAGAGACCTGGAGCTGTTTGC